TGAAGAAATTTAGAGGATAAGGTTAGGGGAGAATATAGTTTTAGGGAGGGAGGGTTTTTTTTTTTTTTTTTTTTCTTGGGATCGGGGGGGAGCGGGTTTTTCAAGCTTTTGCAAGGTTACCAGTTCGGGTTTTTCATTGGAGGTTTTTTGGAGATCAAGGGAATTAGAGAGAGGAGCTTCATGCTTCGGGTCGGGGAAGGAAAGACATAGAATTTGGATTTTTCTTCTTCGTAGAGTTTTGGGAAGACTGAGACAATCGCTGCTGAAGTCAGTGTTGTAATGGTGAATCGGGATTTTTAAATGAAGTGGGTTTGAATACTCTTGACTTTTTTATAAAATCGAGTTACGTCTGTGATTGAAGGATTAAAAGGGTGTCTATAGGATTGAGTATGCGGAGTGAATGAAATTTATTGCGTTAATCTAACAGGACAATCAATGGATACAAGATCGTAAGTACAAAGGGGTATTGAAGATTAACAGTTTGGGTTGTTCGGGGTTCTCTGTAACGTCTAGAGACCTACCGGCTGGGAAATAAAAAAAAAAAAAAAAAAAAAAAAAAAAAAAAAAAAAAAAGACTTCGACAAGCAGTCGAAGAGCATCCGTATAGATTTACTGTACATTGTTGCAGTCGTTTATGTTCCAGCAGTCAAAAACTGATAGACTGCTTGACTATCGGCGAATCTCCATACTACCTTCTACAGCCAGACGCCCGGCGCGTTCTTGAGCAAGAAAGCACGTAATACGACAACGGTCCCTATTGTAGCTGAACAAACTCGTTTTCCGACATATTATCTTCTTTCACATCCATACTCCTCATTTTGTGATTGCGTCGTTTCTTTGGATAATATTGAGCAGTGTACTTTGGTTCTCCACAATATAAACATAATCCTTCTTGACGACGACGAGTCTTTTCTTGCTCAGTAAGAGGTTTGAAACATACTGCATCAATTTGCATATCCTCTACTTCCGAATATATGTGTTGAAGAGGTGTTGGTATTGCCATTGAATTATAGTAACGTTGAGGTCCACTTGTACGGTTCTCAGATCGAAATTCAAAAAGGCGATTGTCGTACTTTTTAGCAAAGTCAATTGCTTGACTCAATGTTTGAGGATCAGGTAAGTTGAGCATTAATTTTTTTACCTCATATTATAATCCGTAGAGAAATTGGCTAATAAGTGCAGCATCATCCCACTTGATATCAGTTGCAAGTTGTCAAAATTGTGAAGCATATAACGTTACTGATTGATTGCCTTGTCGTAAAATACGGATCTTATTGGTTGCCACACGAATTGCATCATGTTCTCCATACATGGATCGAAACTCCGCCAAAAAAGCCTCTAGATTATCCAATATTGGATCTCGTCGTTCAAGAAAAGATGAAAACCATGATAGTGCCGAACCTGAAAGAAGCGTATCAATGAATCTAACTTGTGATCCTGGAGTTGGATAGCTTTGGGGTTGAAGTTCAATCACAAGTTGCACTTGATTGATAAATCCTCGAAATTTAGATCTAGTGCCATCAAACTTCTTGGATAGGGCAATTCTTGGTTCTCTAACATTTGAAGGGCGTTCCACCATAGGAGAAAGGACATGGTTTGGTGCAGATGTTGAAGTAGTTCCAACCATTTCTATATCTTCACTTCCTGCCAATCTTGTTGCTCATTGTAGTGGTAAATTGAGTTGATGCATCGCAAGCATTAACTCCCTCAATTGCTCTTGCATTTGTGCCATTGCACTCTTTATTTCAAGAAGTTCTTCGATGATAACACTTAGAAGAGGGAAGATGTCTAATATCGCTCAAGATAAATAGAAGAGAGGACTTGTGGACAAAGAAAATACTAAGGACAATATTAGTTTAGAAGAGGGTAATCCGCAACTTCTAATATGCTTATATCTTATCAAGAAAAAGGTGTAATCCACTCTTAATCAAGATTAGACAAAGCTCTGATATTGTAGGTGTACTCTTGTCAATCTCTCAAGGAAAAGAACTCGATGAAAAAACAATTCAGACAAGTGAGCCTTCACTCAAAGAGAGGTAAAAAAATATATATAAACAAGTATATATATTGAAAGAGAAACTAGAATGGCTATTGCCAAAAGACAAGAAAACTAAAGACCCTTGAAATTAGACTAGAAGCAAGAAAGGAGTTGACAAGAGTGAAGAAGCCTTCACTCTTGTCTCTATATATACTATCTAACTATGGGCTACGTGGCGACGTTCTATAGGACCTCCAATATATGTTGACTTTGTAGGACACATGCCTTGACTTATAAGGCAAGTTTTTCTACGTGTGGGCCACATAGTTAGCTTGATCTTCAAGCTAACAACATGTGTGGCACATGGCCAACTTGTTGACCACGTTTCTAATCCAAAAAGTCAATTAAAGACACCTATGAAGTCAAAGCAGCGTCTAGGAAGTTTCTAAGAAGCTTCCATATTAAATATTATAGAATTAACTTACTTTTATCTATTTTTACTTACTTCTACCTATTTCTATATGTAGTTATTAGCTTACATGATTATGGCCGTGACAGCAAGGCAATATCAAAGTAGGTTGGAATATCTTGTTCATTGATGTGGATATAATAATAATAAATACATATGGGAGTAAACAAAGAATCTTGTAAGTATAGAATAAAATATCAAATTTTTTTATTAATAATATCCATCAAAACAAAGATAAAAAGTCAAGTAATTCCATGCTATAAATAAAGGATGTTCAATGAAAATTATATTCTATCTTTTATCCTTCATTATAAGTTTTTTATATTTTGTGATCCTAATAAAATAAAGAATCTACACTCCTTAGATTCAACTCAAGAGCTATCATTTTTTGACTTATTAGATAAGACATTGCAACTGTTATAGCCTTCAAGGCAACATAATCAAAGTAAAGATCTTAAAAAAACAACATATTCTCCCTTAAATAGATGGCAATATATAATGCGCTTGATATCATGACTTTGGACAAGTCTCTTGATGTTTGGTGATTTTATTAGAGGTAGGAATGACTCTTGATAGTATAATGAATGTTTTGTTTATAGAAATTTATGAAAGCCTCAACAATGATCAAATAATAGGGTGGTCTTTTTCTTGTGGAATAGGATATTATCGATGGCTGAGAAGACTTTTCAACTACCTTCAAAGGAAACAATCAAAATATGTAATACATTTAATTTGTCATATCTTAGACTTCATTACTATGTGATCATTGCTCCTCATAGAACTTGTCTCTAAAAAATTAGGCAATATCATAGATATACATATGTATACTAATAGTTATCTAAGTAATATGAATAAATAGAAATAGGTAAAAATAGTTTAATTTCATAATAACTTCTAGAGAAGCTTTCTAATAGTCTAGAATCTTAAAAAAATAAGCCTTATTAATAGAATATAAAGATAAAAAAAGCTAAAATCCAAAACAATTCAAAGTAAAAAGAAATTCTTAAATATATTTTCAAAGAATTCTTAAATATATTATTTTTTATATTCAAAGAATTTCTTTTCATTTTGAATATAAAAAATAATAGAAATATATGTATATATATATATATATATATATATATATATATATATATTTATATTTATATATTTATATTTATATATTTATATATATATTATTTAAATAAAATATAATTTTTATTTATTAAATTAAAACCTTTAAATTAATTAATATTATTCTTAAATTTTTTTTATCAATAAAAACTTCTTTTAATCAATCTTGATAGAATATTAATTTATATTTTTTTAATTTGATAAGAAATATATTAAGAATGTTTTTTAAAACTTTAATTTACTATAATTTTTATTTATGTAATATATATTTTATTTAAATCTAATATTTATAAAACAATTATAAGAAGCTTTGTTTTTTTATTAACAACCAACTCTAACAAAGGTAGAAGATTAAGAGAACCAACTTTTTAGTAAGAGTTTATGATTGAAATTTTTTCAAACTAAATATTAAAACTTAGAAGGTCATGTTAATAGAAAAATTTAAAATATATATATATATATATATATATATATATATATATATTGTAAATAGAATGTAACAAGTGAATAAGAAACTTGATGTTTAAAACAAATGACATTGTTGCCAAAAGATATGCATAATTGTAAAAGACAAACAACAATCAAATAGAATACGAAATTATATAAGACTAGATGTATATTTTTATTAGTCCTTACTTTAGACACATTTTCAATTTTTTAACTTCTCTTTTATACAATTGACTACTACAAGTTACATCCAACAACACTCTAACAATGATATTTAGAAAAGAAAGATTTTAAAAAGCACATGAGACAAACAAAAATATACATATTATTGTATATACTACTGAAGCACATCCAAATTTTAAAACTCTAAGGAAATATAAGCTTAAGGTTAGGTTCCTACTGAATAAAGTAAATTTTAAATACCCATCCAAGACATTTAGAAGAAAAACACATCTTCTTTTAGCATCAAATTCAAAAGAAACCACTAAACTCTATGTTCACTTTTGCAAAGAAATGAATCAGGTTAAAGCTGGAAAATTTGCAATTCCAAACATACAATGATTCTCAACTTTCTATTCATCAAACAAATCCGTTATGTAAAAGTGAACATTTCATCCCTTGGGTCAATTGCTATTGTGGGTCTAGTTGATGTACAGGATGCAGAGGTTCGATGCTTTCGGAGAACGGAGTAATCTTTCAAAGGAATCCCAATTTCACAACCAAGAATTGACTCAAACATCGATGAAGAAAGTTGCATTCTCTCCCAGCAGTTCGTTTTGCACCTGTTCAGCTGAAACCTGGTGCCCAGAGCCTGAAAATATAACTAAAGACAGAAGAGTCAGTGAGTGAAAGTGGTTGATGCAGTTGAAACTTCAACTAACTGCATCAACCACTTTCACTCACTCCTTCAGTTCCAATGGAGCTTCTTCTACACAACATAAGAGGAATAAGCAGGAGCTGGGCTGCAGAATCATCCACAACGTGCAAACAAGTTAGTTTTGCAGAAGATTGAGTCAACAGTTTTTTTTCAGTGCACTGCGATCTGGATCTGTGACCTGGGCAGATTTTGTTGTTGATAGTGCTTCAAAGTTGCACTGAAAGTGTGAGCTCCGACGCACCCAACTCTCACGCTTAGTATTTCGTGAGTTAGATTGCGCCCCCTAGGATCTCGGAGCCGCCAGACTCAGCCGGAGGCCAGCGGAAGAGAGTTACAACCGTCATGTCCGAGTATATAACCCCATATGACCAACATCCTCAGAGCCTCAGGCTCTGCATCGCACCGGATCCCCTTCGAATCGTAGCCCAGATTGTTAGGCACTGCATTGAAGTAGATACTGTGTAACAGTCCTGATCCAGATTATCAGGCACTGCTTTGCAATGAATTAGCTTCGTGACGTTGTCGTGCTCCACGTTGTCAGGCATTGCATCTTGCTCAAGCCGAAGTATCCGGCTGAGAATTTCAAAGATTGTAAATAAACTATTCGAGTTTAGCGAGTTTATAAGAAAGTCGCTATGAGAGAGTGCCTTTCTATCCACGTTGGTCAAGCCGGCATTCAGATCGGCAACGCGTGTTGGGAGCTTTTCTGTCTCGAGCACGGTATCCAGGTGCGCTTTAAGAGTTCATGATGTCAAGTGAAGCAATGTTAAATCATTGTTCATATATTAATGACTTCACGAATTTGTGAGATAGAGTGACAGCAGGATCCAGAGGGGTTTTCAAGGTAACATGGAAAGCACGTAAGTTTTTGTATGTGCACTGTGCAGCCTGATGGGCAAATGCCAAGTGACAAGACAGTGGGAGGAGGAGATGATGCCTTCAATACCTTCTTCAGTGAAACGGGAGCGGGAAAGCATGTGCCTAGATGTGTCTTCCTGGACTTGGAGCCCACTGTGATTGATGAGGTGAGGACTGGCACGTACCGCCAGCTCTTTCACCCCGAGCAGCTCATCAGTGGCAAGGAAGATGCCGCCAATAACTTTGCTCGAGGGCACTACACCAGTATGACCTCACCACTACTGCTACCAATTTACATACAATTTCTTCGGACAGCATTACTTCTATGCGCTTTGTCCTCAAATCATTCCGCATGAACGTTATATTGAGGTTTCAAATCACCCGTTCTGAACCACATGCAACCTGGTTACTTATGGTTTCTGACGTTGTTACAATCTTCTACCTTGTTCTTTTTTTTTTGCTGCTTTTGCAGTTGGGAAAGAGATTGTGGATCTGGCGCTGGACAGAATTCGAAAGCTGGCCGACATGTGCACTGGTCTGCAGGGATTCATGGTCTACCACGCAGTCGGTGGCGGCACAGGCTCAGGCCTCGGCTCCCTGCTCCTGGAGAGGCTGTCAGTTGACTACGGCAAGAAAACCAAGCTTTCCATGTGCATCTTCCCAAGCCCACAAGTTTCTGGCGCAACCGTGGAGCCTTACAACAGCATTTTGTCATGCCATGGCCTCTTGGAACACACAGAAGTCTCGGTGATGTATGACAACGAAGCCATATACGATATATGTCGAAGGAGCTTGGACATAGAGCGGCCCACGTACACGAACCTGAACAGGCTAATCACGCAGGTGATGTCGTCATTGACTGCCTCTTTACGATTCGACGGAGCACTCAACATGGACCTCACCAACTTCCAAACCAATCTGGTGCCATACCCGAGAATCCACTTCATGCTCTCCTCGTACGCCCCCATCATCTCTGCGGAGAAAGCATACCACGAGCAGCTGTCTGTGTCGGAGCTGAGCAACAGCGTGTTCGAGCCATCCAGCATGATGGCAAAGTGCGATCCCAGGCATGGCAAGTACATCGCCTGCGCGATGATGTACCGGGGAGATGTGGTCCCCAAGGATGTGAATGCAGCTGTGGGCACTCTCAAAACGAAGCGGACGATCCAGTTTGTGGACTGGTGCCCAACTGGGTTCAAGGTGGGTATCAATTACCAACCTCCAACGGTGGTGCCTGGCGGGGACTTGGCCAAAGTGCAGCGAGCGTTGTGCATGATCTCCAACAGCACGGCGGTGGCGGAGGTTTTCTCACGCCTGGACCACAAATTCGACCTAATGTATGCGAAGCGGGCTTTCGTGCACTGGTATGTTGGTGAGGGGATGGAAGAAGGCGAATTCTCGGAGGCGAGGGAGGATTTAGCAGCTCTGGAAAAGGATTACGAGGAGGTGGGTGCGGATTCAACCGAGGATGATGGCGAGGACGAAGGCGAGGAATATTAGCCCAACCTCGGTTCCAGCTCCGACCAGTCGGCGGTTTTCTTTTGTACAAAAACACACATTCATCGGATGATATCTTTCGTTTTTTCTTACACCCTACAACAACTGTTCTTCACTTCGCAGTGAGATTGTAGAACTGAAGTGTGCGGTACTCAATTACCGTTGAGCCCACTCTTTCTTTGTTCGGAATTCGAATTCTTGCAACTTATTTCTGTTGAAATGCTTCACTAGTAACACGATTTCACTGCAAAGTGCTCTTGGTTTGTTCAAAGCGGCAATATGGTTTCTCAGTTCATTCGGATCCGTTGCATGAGAATTCTTCATTACCTGCAATGTTTCACGTTGTCATGTGACCAAATCCAATAGACGAATGTAATATTTATTCATCGTTTTGATGTTGGATGCAATTTGTTTTTTTACTTCCAGTCATTATTAAAATCATGTTCTTTATGAACAGTGAGGTTACGCATTTTTCTCTCAGGAAATGTCTGTGGAATTAAAAGAGCAATGGAGTGTTTGATGTGATGCTTGGTAATAGTACTATTCTAATCAACAAAATCCTGGAAAAATATTTTAAAATATCTGCAGTAGTCCAAAACATCAAAACACATTTCAATTGGAGGTAGTAATATCAAGTTTTAGCCACTAAAAATATTACCAAGAATAGTGATGATTGGAGACAACAAAGGAGAGAATTCTTTCTTAAGTGCTATACTAATAGAAAAATAAGTGCCTTATTGTTTACCAAATCAAAGCAAGTTATTATCCTATTGACATTAAAAGAAGGGAATTGTTAGGTAGACATTGACTTTTATTATATTAGATAAACACCTCTTTGTTACAACAAAAATACACTATTGCTACAAGTTTTTCAACAAGTTGGACACTAATGAATTTAAAAGGTATAAAGAAATAATAAAAATCAACATCAATCCACAACGTAGGAAATTCATCTATGTTTGTTAGAAAGAAAACAATGGAAAATCTTTTAAGAGTTTTTTTTTACTTTGCAATGAGATCTTTCAATCTCCATCTCTTTTCTCCCAAAATGTAGGAATGGTGAAAAAAATCACTGCTATTGGGATCTTTTCATCCGCACCACCTTTGTGATCTTGCAATGTCATTAGTTATGCAGTGAGTTAAAATTCCCACATCAGGGAGGTACTTGTATTCACCACATCTTCAACATTAATTACAATGTCAATCAAAAACAGCAAAAAAATTACTGTCAGACATTGATGTGCTAGCTAGCAAGAAGTGAAACAAGCAACTATTAATACAAAGATAAGTTCGGATTAGTAGTTGAGTAAGAGAGATTAAATTTACTAATAAATCCCAACTTTTAGAGAATACCTTAAATTGTCCAATCTACTAAGATTGAAAATTACGCCCATGTGGTGAAATGTGCAGCATAGACCATTCACATTGTGCTCCAAATACACTCTGACCATTCATACATGAACATGGCACAAAATTGTGCTTTATAAAGTCTTTTAGAGTCAATAGGCTTGAAATTGATTTTTATAGGAAAAGAATGCCATAGATCAAATCTTCAACAACTTTGATTAAGATAATTGATTTGTGCATCGAACCTGTTGCCAAAATGGGTTGTAGAAATTTGAATATGCTTAAATTGTACCACCTATTCTTAATTGCAGCATTCTAACTAGTGGGTATATTTAGAAATCAGTACCCAATTTCATATATTGAAACTCAATTGTCGATATTTCTACTAAACCTGATAGCACCAAATTGTAGTTTGAAAATTGTAATTTGAGATGCAAAATATGAAGCTATTACCACATCTATATCAAAGATATTAGTGTAGATTGGCTCGCCCTACCAAGTGCGTCAAAGACCTAATCAGACACATGATACAATTGATACAAACCACTTACAATTTGGGTTTTCACAATGTAAAATCCACGGCAATCACATTATTACTACAAAGACTATGTAACTCCCAATATCATCCAAATGAACTGCTTGCAACTCAATCCTTCAAAAATGAAATAAATTGAGCTCAATGGCCTTTTAATGAGAGAGTAAGCTCACATTAAGATCTTGATAGTAGGATTGTGTCAAAAGATTTCCCTCTAACCATCATGTGGGATTATCTTTTTTCTTAGATTTCACATCAATAAGAGAGTTGCAAAAGCTAGTGGAGTCAAAACAAGAGCATTTATCAAGAAGAAACTGAGAGACCTGCTCACTATACAATAGATGAAGTTGAGATCTTGTTATTTGAGCCATTAGTGTTGCCTTCAAATCCTTTATAATGTCTAGACATCAATCATCTCATATATTAAATCTTACTACCTATCTGATCACTCTGCCTACATCCTCCAATACAAACTAGAGAACCCATGGCAGATTAATCTGCCAATTTCATTTTTATTTTTATTTTTTTATATCAATCTTCAGTTCTGATTTATGAATTTTTCTTCACAATCCACATGATTTGATTCAATTGCAAGATCCAAATTTTGAAGCTTTGTTGAGCCGCCTTGAACTTTGAGACCAAGTGTGTATCATATAGTGATGTCACTGAAATGAGGGAATGGAAATGGAAACTAAAAGGATACAATGATGGTTTAGACATTTGGGTCAATTTAATAAAAGTCTAGATTGTTTTAACATTCTCCTATATATATCAAAATATAGATTCTTACATGCAAAAACTTCAAAAATAATCATATAATATTGTGATAGTTATAACTTTATTGAGTTTCAATGATAATAAAGACCTAACGTAATAATAAAGACCTAACACTTTTATGATGTGTTTTCTAATTTTACAATAATAAAACTTTTATATATAATTTTATTAAAGCATAAGAGCTTGAGAATTTCTAAATGCTATTTCCAATAACTAAGTCATATATATATATATATATATATATATTTATGTTGATACTTGATGCTGTTATGAAAAATTTCTATTTTTAAGTACCAAAGGGGCAACCATTGACCACACTGCACATAAACAAGAAAATGTTGAATTATAAATTTTGATAGAATATAATTTAAATTTAAAATTTTCTTTGTTATATTTAGAACTTGCAACCATGGAAAGGCATTTTCAGTGAACATTGAAGAAAATAAGCAAAACTTTGTAAGGAAAACAAAGTCGTTCATAGAGACAATTATGGAAAACAATTATAGAAAACACAACAATAAAGTTTATATACTGAGTAGACTGCAAAAAGAATAATATAGTAAACAAATTTTTTCTGTATTTTGAATAAGACAATATGACCAATTCACAATCAAAGTATAAAAATTGTAAATAGTAAAAATTATTTCATGTGTAATCATTTCAAGAATTATAATTGCATAAATATTTCTTTTTAAACTGATTATCAAAAATCTATTTCTATCAATCAAACAACAGGCATATTTAATTCATGCAATATAAAAGAGTTCTGATTTTTATTTCAATTTGGAACACAAAAAATTAAATTGAATTAACTTATATTAAATTAATAATTTAGTAAATTTCCAAACTTATATACATGGTCAAATAATCCTATTTCTTCAATCCCTCTCTATCCTAAATATATCTCCATTTTTATCAATAAAAATAAAATAAATAACACTGGAAATTAGGATGAAAAGTTTTTTTTGTCTAAAATTTTGAAATGCATGAAGATTTAAGTTCAGAGAAGTCAAAGCGATTTTTTTACAACACCCAAAAACTGTATATATTCCCTCAGATAAGCATTAACAAGTGGCTTTTCTTTTTCTTTTTTCTTTTTTCTTTTTTTTTGGGGGGGGGGGATGCTGAGCTGGATTAGAAATCAACAAGGGATAACTACACTAACTATTTTCATTGAAAGGAGATTCTGCACCCTCACATTAGATGTGAATAGATAAGAAAAACTGTATTCTTTAGTTTGTGCTGTCAAGTTCATTCAAAGACACCCAAGACTATCCAAAACTATGAAAATAATAATGTAAATAATAAATAAATAAATAAATAAATAAACAAATGGCCTTTGAAGGTTAACACACCATTACGAGAACCCACAATCCCACAATCCTCCCCAAAGCCAAGTCAAACAGCATATCAGGAGCTCACCATAAACACCTGCTGCCAGCCACTCATTTGCAATCTTCACCCACACTCCTGTCCACCCCATGTCAATGCTCCACCTGACAAACACACCCCCACCAAATCCATCTTGTGAAAAAGAAATCAAATAGATGCACAAAATTAGAAGGAAGGGAAGAAGAATTCCTAGGAAGCTAATATATATTGGGAAGCCTTACTTGTGAATGGTGTGGTGGGAGCTCCATCCCACTAGAAGCATGGCAAAGTACATAGCACCAATGGCAAATACAAAGTGAAACACCCCATAGCAGTATTGCACTTGGCCTTCATCTGCACCCGCAGCCTTCAAAGGAAGCTGATCCACAACAGCATAACTGTGGGTCACTCATTTCAAGCAGCTTTTACAATCACTCAGGAGGCAAAAAAAAAGGCTTGAGACAATGGAAGATAGACTGAGCAGACAAGGTCTATGATACTGAGAACATACAGAGAAGGATCTGAAATGGACTCCAGTGGTGAATGTTGCCAGTGAGATGGCACCGAAACCAACTACAAATTCCTGCATCACGCACGTTCACAAATTACACCCAGGGCTTTTTCACATTGATTTGCACTGCATCAACAGGAACTTGCAACACCTTGAAAATTTCCATTCAAACTTGAGTCTTCACAATGTTGAAAGAAAACAAGTAAATAAAACAAATACATGACTTTCATGTGTTTGTGGATAAGAGGGACAGGAAATTACACATGTACTATTTATTGTTACTGGATTTCATTGCAGGCACGATAAGGTTAGTGTTGTACATACCACTATAGTTAGCCAGTCATACTTGCCACCACTGGGATGTGGGTGGATTCTGCAGGTTGATGAAAGTGGCTCACTGCAGCCCACCCATCAATCAACATTGAAGAGCAGCAGGGATTACCCTTATCAGAATTACATTACAAAGCCGTTGCTCAACTATAAGAAGTGCATGTGCAAATAGACATAATTTGAAAACAATACCCTAAGGTACTTTTTGAAGGTACTTTGACAAAGGCCCCTGCTTGGTGTCATAAATATAATTTATTTGTTTATTATTTATTTTTAGCTTCAATCTCTAACATCACAATGCTGCAGAAATCGGAATACAAATCTGAATAAGTTGATTTTGTTTTTTGTTAAGGTAAAGAATGTGCCTCATGATTGCAGACCAGCAGAGGAATACAATGTAAACTGCCATAAGACCTGATGTTAAAAGGCCAGCATTCACCTACACAAGATGAAGAATCACTCAGTCCTTCATCCTTATTGATGCCATCCTTGAAAGCATTACACATCATTATACTCTAGGTGATGAACATTAATCTACAATAATGATGTCCTCACCATCAATAGCATACAAGTTAGCAAACATATAAAACAGTGTTTAGGCTTTTAGACTTTTTGAGGATGAATTGTGCTAGTGGTATTGAAACTGCATTGTGACATGGAAAATACATGTACCTTGGAATTCACTGAGAGAAGTGTTGTGAACAAGACAAGGCAGAGGGTGGAGCTGATGAAGAAGACATTGAGCTTACAATCCTTGCTTGTAACAAACCATGCAATCATAACCCCGATGGTGAAGAGGGAAGCCATGAAGCACACTGCAGACACAAGAATCATGGGCACTCTCCTGCAAGAATGATGCATTAGTGTGAGTGATGAATGTTAATATTTGAACACATGCCAGATGCTGTGATGGCCATTCTCAAGTGTCTGGAAATTAGCTAAACAAGCTTTCATTTGTATGTCTCAGATTGATAATTTATTAGGATAGTACTTCTCACTCAGCTATGAGATTGGTGGGGAATTACCAGATGTGCTCATATTTTTCATTAAGCCATTCCTCATTCCAGAAGTAGATGAAGTTAATGAAACTCACCAACTGTATAACCAAGAATATTCTGCCAATCCATACATGGAAAAACTCATGCCTGTTAAGTGATCTGAGTAAGACCATTTTGTATTCTTATCCTGCATATAGTACATGCCAGCTGTGGTGGCACACAATAGTATCTGGCCCCGCTATTAACCAAATCCTACCTATAAATTTCAATGTACTCCGCTACGCTTTGCCATTTTAACCTACTTGCTCCATCTAGTTTAAACCCAGTTTCGACTGATGTGACTGTCTTTTCAAGCCTACAAATATCAACATCAACGTATTCACTAAGACCTGCTCTGGACTAGAAGCCAGTGAAGACATTTAATTGTCAGTAGACATATACAGTGAATGTAAATTAGTTCCTTAACCAGCTCATCATTAGTTGCGAAATAAAGCTAAAATTTATTGCAGAATGCTCTCGTTTCATGAGGTTTCAGCTATTCTAGAGCTTGGGCTGACTTGAATAGGTACCGGACTAGAGAATTACCTTTTTATAAAAACGCATGTTCTTCTGAGACTGACAATTTCATTGCAGAACACAAGATTAGAGGTAGATCACGTACCCAGCTCCAAACCTTGCAATTTCTCCTGCACATAATAACAGTGCGAAACAAGTATGAGATAGTAATACAGTTGATGATTATTTTACATAAACGAAAAAATGGAAGCAATTAAAGTGGAGATTTACCATATATCGCGATGTAATGCGGTGGTATTAGGAATGGCATCACCATGAGAGCAGCCCACCCAAGTGTCTTGATAGGCCACCATCCCGAATGCCATGAATCTCTTGGATCCTTGGTACTTGAAGTCCCTACTGTGGTTAGAAACATGAAAGAGAAAAACATCTGTCATGGTTATTAAGGACCATCGCAAGAAAGTTCCCAGGGTGCAGTGGATAGTGAAGTGTGTCTCAAGATTAGAGTGAGAACAAATCCTGAACAGAAAACTTGAGTTTGTTCTGTAGGATCCAGAACCATATTAACCACTTGATGTTAGAATTGAAGTAACACACAAGCTAAATCTCTGGAGACTTGAACTACCACTGGAACGAAATGCAGCTAAATCACCTATTCTTCGGTAATATCCCGAAGTTATTGAGAGGATACAAAACAGCCAAAACTGAGGCGAAGGACTCCATCAGACCCCACGCAATCCAAGCTGCTTCGACAACCCTTAAGATCTGAATAAATGTACATGCACTTGAATTTATTAGGATAGATGAACATGAGAGTAATGCTGATTACTGGTGGAATTACAAAGCGACTAACCTCGTGTGAAACGACGGAAGCCCTCAAGATTTCAGCTCACCAGAGAGAATCAATTCATTTCATCAAACGTGAGGTGCAATGGCATGAGCCCTATTTTAACAATTACAAGTTGACTCAATGGGTGTGTACGACTGCATTCTCATGCTGAAGTAAACTCAGTGTACTGCCACAACCATCCTTATGATTCTTTTCCTTGAAATGGGAAGTGGGATTGAGAATCTTACAATGAAAGAGATGATATTTTTTGAGACTGTAATCACGCACAATCCACGCCAGAATGTTGCTCAGGAGGAAGAGAAGCCCATACATGTAGCGGGCCGCCATGCGGCACGAGCCTGTACATGATTGACAAAGGCAACATGATGCAGCCAAACACTCTGTCAAACACATCTTGATCCGCACTTAGAGTCGGCGCTTGACCCCAATCTTCAGCTGGAGAGGCCTTTGTCACCTGATCATCACAGCTTCACTAGGCAATTGCGGGTTACACATTCTACAGAAGACCACAGTTTTCACTCAACGGAAGAATATCACCCGCACAGTTGGAAACGATTAATTGAAATCTTCGGGCCATGTACTAACATAAAAAAAAAATGTTACTTCACACCCCAAAATATCTCACCCTTTTCCACACCTCAAAATTCTCGAGATCAAATTTGTTAACACTAATCTCACACTCTTGCCAAATTAGGTCTGCTTATGTAACAACCATCCATCGTCACAAAAATAGCTACAGAAGCGATTGCAGCTGATGAAAAATAAGGTGCTGGGACGAGAAGCAACCCTTTCTCCACACAAACAGAACTCAAAAGAAACATACAAAATGAAGAAGAAGCAACATCTCAACACCCAACCGCAAACTGCAAAACCAAGAAGTGATAAGTGTACCGGTGCGTGTAGGCAGCATTCACCGTCATGGACTTTCATGCGTGTCCAATGGAATCGAAAGGTGGCAGGACACATGGATTCTACGAAGTGGGTGACAAAGGGCATGAACTATCAACGGAGGTCAAGAAACGTTGAAAGCAAGCAACTTTGTGACAGTTTTGCAACCCCATAACTCGGCGTTTTGCGGTGCGTAATCTGCTTCGAAGCCTGGAAGATGATGAAGAGGTTCCATCTTTGCGAGTGCCAATCCGACACTAATCCTCGCTGCCGCTTCACTTTCAAAGCAGTCTCATTTATACTGTGGGGATGTTATACCGGTCTGGACCCGAAGGACCCCACGGGAATACTATACATGACCCTCTACATTTGCACGGTGTTGCGGGCGATGCGTTTGGGGCACATCACAGCACCAGCTATTGTGTTAAAATACAACACCGTGATCTTAAAAATGGTGCTTACAACTTTTTGAATATTCTTAATGTTGATTTTCATTTTAATATATTTTTCATTCTTTCTTATTATTATTAAAAAAAAAAAAAAAAAAAAAAAAAAAGAAGAAACTGGTTAGGTAAGCGTTGCTTTTCTTGGGTGGTTTCTGTAAAACAAATTTATTGCAAGCTCTACTGTGGGTGTTACAGCATCATTATGTATATGAAAAGTATGTCTATCAACCATCTGATGTATATGAAAATTGAAATTCATAACGAAAGTCTTTGTATTAGGTTTGAAAGACATTAATTAATTAGTGTAAAGGTAGAAACATTTAACCATAATTGCAGATTCAAAAAATATTAAAATTTTAGATTTTATAGCTTTTTTTATAAAAAAAATACTTTTTTAAAAAAATCGCCTTGTAATTTATTAATATGCTTATTTTTTATCAAAAAAAATTATCATGGATTTATCATGTCTTAGATGAAAATTTACAAACACCATGTATGGTGACAAAAGAAGTGCTGATTTTGAAAACAATACCAATAGAGAAGAAATTGTGAGCAAGAGAGGGGATGTAAATTACATTGGTAAGAACTTCAAGTAAACATACACCATAAACTTCTTGCTTTGTGCGAATATTATCTTAACCACAAGCCCAAAAAGTGCAATCACAAGTGATTGTAATGGGCCAATTACCTTTTGGAATTAGAGTGAAAGAATCAAATCATTCTTAGCAATTAGTCATGTGATGTGTGGTGGCAGAATTTTCATATCAAAAATCACTATGAAGCAAAATGGAATATGCATGCAATAAAGAAGTAGAAATCATGAATGCAAATTTTGATTTTTAAAAAATAAAGGTAGAATGTAACTTATCATGTGAAATATCTTTGTTGTGTAAGCTGGAATCATATTAGAGGCTTTTAGATATATTAGTTTCAGTAATGATATATATTTTTTTGGTAAAATCAATTTTTTCTTCCTCTTTGATTTTAAGCAATCAACAAACTAATAATTTTTCTTGCCGCAGTTAAAATATCATGTTCAACTTTTAAAATCTTGGATGTACTAAACATTATGTTGATGTTGTTCACAACAATTTATTGGCACAGATTTTAGAGCTTGTCCATAAGTAAAAAAACACAAGATCTCTTGGATTGTCTTATGCACCTTGCATTTAGAGGAATTTGCAGTGAAGAAGTTGAACTTAAAGAGTTAGAACAGTTTGTTGTTCTTTCAATCCATTTGTCCAAGCAGCAAGAATGCAGTTGTATCCTGAGGAAAACTTGACATGATTTTTGAAATGATCATGCTCTCTGGCATTTCATATTGTATATCTTTTAATAATAAAGATATATTCTCAATATTCTAAATATGTGAACTTATAGCATTGATTTGGGACATCTTATAATTGTAAAACTTACCTTGTAATTAAAAAAACATTCTTGATAATATATTGAAGATAGATGGAGCAAAGCTTTGTCCATATAGTCTCTGTAGTTGGACATCTTATTAATTTAGATTTAATATGTAGTGATATTCCAAAAGTTATGAACATTCTTGCATTTGCATATTTTTGATCCCATAAGTCAATGCATTCTTAAAATTTTCAATTATTTTGAGTAGATAGCATAATCAGTTGTCAATTAATTCTAGTAATCACACTGTAGACCTTTTTTTAGCTTGGAAAGCAATTTCCAAATGAAATTTCTTCGCATAAATTATTCTATGTCAAAAACTTTCTCGACAAATTTCTTGTGTTTTTCTAAGAGTTCAAGAAGTAGTTAATTGAAAGATGAACAAATAGAATAACAAAATTGATAATAGAGCAAAATTGATAACACACCAAGTTCATAAGAAAGCAAGGTATACTAGTGTTGCCTGAGGCACACTATGTAAACGTTGTAGAGGCCCAAAACCTGTTGAATTTAAACTCACACACACTAAACACAGACAGCAGCAATACAAAATGTGACCACAATTGTGCAATTGCACATGAATCACTTCACAGTACACTTTTCAAGATGCTGTTTAGTAAGTCGAATGAAAGTATTCATCAAATAAAACTTTAGGGGTTCGCGCACAGGCAACTCACCAATATCAGAGCCATGATAGTTTTGTCGTCCAGATTCGGCACCCCGTTTTCGCCCGGCAAGTCGAGTAGAATACTGATGAAGTCGTTCGGATTCCCTCCTCGCAATTTCCCAGATGCCAAAACTCTGTGCTCCTAAATGATGGCGTCACAAATCCAATCTAATTGACGCCGCACCAGGCCACATACTGTCTTCTCAGAATCCCAAAAGCACACCACTCGAAGAGGGAACAGACAAATAGAATGAAGTGTAATAAATTGTTGCAACAACGATGGACGGACGTGGAATGGCAAACACGACAGTCATACTATGTGGATATTACGGTTAGCAAGGATGTAACACTTATTTCACATACGTTGCGGATGTCTCTCTTGAATCCTGGCAAGTCCAGCCACCCAAGAGCCGGAACAAAGTGCCCAAGGTTCAGCGCTCCCAGCAACCGAGACAACTCATGGATGACATGCTTGAAATCTGTCCCGTAGAACCACACTCCCGCCTCCCCAACAACACTCGACATATCACCACCATCGATACCTCCATAAAGATATCCCTCATATCCACAATTTTGCCCCTCTGTGCTATCTCCATGACGGCCTTGACCATGCACTTCCACTCCTCAATGCGCCAATTCATGATGTTCCTGAACTTCTTGGGATTCAAAAGCTCATGCACACAGATTCTCCTGACATGGCGCCTGTTTGGACCGAAAAGCCCCATTGCAAAGTCGTGAGCATTGACGGCCACGATCTCAGTGAATTTCAAGTGTGGTCGAGATGAAAAAACATGGTCCTGCTCCTTATTGATCTGTGCAGCAAGCTGCAGACTACCTAACTAAACTGTCGGGACGCATCCTAGTTGCAGAATACAATGTGGCCGTATTTTTTGTGCAGCGCAAACATAGTCCTAAGGGGTTGCGAGCGTAATTGTAGCTGGTTTCCTAAAATAGGCAAATCTCTGGGACCAGGCCGAAGTCGCCATGGCTTCTTGAAGTACAAGAGAAGAAACACCAGGCTCAAAGGCGCTACCAACGTTACACAAGCAGCCATACGCAAGTGACCGCCCCGGATCCAGTCCAAGACTAGGCCAAGATTCAGCTGTGGAGAGAGGATATCCGTGACTCGAAATGTTTCACCTCAAACCTTCAAGATTTTCAGAGTGCTACAACTCTGCGTATACGGTGTAGTTTAGTCACAACATTAGACTTTAGTTACAGCACCGAGAGGCCAATGGTGCAGATACTTGTGTGATCGAATGAGATCATGGGTGGTTATCTGAGTGAAAATGCAACTTCGGTTCTTAACAACAGATTCTATAGTGTAATCTAGAAATTGTCCACCATAAGCTTTTAAACTCTCAGGAGCGCAGTGTAGAATCAAGCCTAAAATCCCATGTTACCAATCACAAGTTTGGGGAATCGAACCTGAGGAATAAACGACTGGAACTAAGCAGGAAGCATAGATCACTTGTGCACGGAATTCCCAGTGATCCCAGATCCAGAGACTCGTGGTGTGGAAAACAGATCTCCTGACTTCCGCTCAAGAATTAGAATCATGAAGAGTTTTCTAGGATCTGGTGTTCTTTGCTCTTGGACCCAAGTGGCCCTGTGACGCAATCCTCACCTGAAATACTTGTCCAATAGAAAAAAAAAATTCCAGTTGGATTAACTTGTCAGATAGATAGATAAATAGGGGAATGTTAAATAGACCAATGCTTTTATTAAAATTGATCCACCCTTGATAAAGAATATTGTAATCATTATAATTGTGGTTGGTTTTTATTGGTTACAAAATCCAATAGTGGAGAAATGAATCTAGAAGTCATCTTTTTTTCATGATGGTTAGGATGGATGGGTCATTTTAGTAAAAATTTGGATTTATTTAATATTTTTTAATATCTATAAATGTTCATAATGGAGAATGATTTGATTATTAGGTAAAATACAATTCATCCATGTGACATTTGTGTTTCAACCCTCTTGTGCTTAATATGAGTTTCTATTAAGATCCAAAAGTAAAGAGTGAACTTACTGATAAGAGTTAATCCAACTAGAACAAGAGCCCAAAAATGACACTTTTGCTTTAATTAGGCAAATTGGTGGACCTATCCTAAGTCCAATAGCCAAATGAAAAGGTGGTATTATGTTGGAATTCAAAATGTTGTAAATCAGAAACTTTCTCTATAGATTTTTTGATATTTTATAACATGGTATCATAGCATAGTTAGACTTTATTTTATTTTCTTCATTACTCATTATTTATTCTTATTTTAATTTTTCATTGTCACTTTAAGAGTGTTAAATCAACATAGTTTCAAAGTTTATTTCATCATTGCATTTATTGAATTCATAAAAAGAACTATAACACATAAACTTTTGTCATGAAGCATTTATTGTCTTCCTACAAATTTTACAAATATGTAGATCAAATGCTACAATATTATAATATAAAAATATTATCAAAAGAATAA